TCTCTCTCTCTCCCTCTCTCTCTCCGCGCATTAGTTAGGAATGAAGGATGGGCAATATAACCCACGCCGTCGGGAGTATAATTCCCAAAAACACTGGCGACAAAAAAAACCCACGCTGCCGGGAGATTTCTAGAAACAAACGTCGGCGGGAGTGCGGGATGATGGGTGCCGAAAATAGAGTAATTTAAGAATTTATATAATAATTAAAAAATAAAAATGTGATGCAATTATCATATTGCCCTTCATTAGATTTGATTAATTATTGGAACCATTAGATTTAAATGAGATGCAATGACTGAGATCAACTTAGTCACCAAATATTAACCCGCAACTAGACTAATCACAGTTCCCTTCTAGGACCCATCGACATATATTACGGAAAATCCACCAAAGTAAAAATTAGAGCAGAAGGGGAACTAGACTAGCCACAGTTCCCTTCTAGTACTCCATTAGCATAACCACAGAGTGTCCACCAATATGAAAAATAGAGCAAAAGGGCAACTAGACTAGTCACAATTCCCTTCTAGAACCCCATTAGCTTATACCACGAAACAACCACCAAAGTAAAGAATTAGATCAGAAGACAACTAAACTAGTGATAATTTCCTTCTAGGACCCCATAGTCGACACTCTTACTTCAAGCACAACAATCAAAATGATATGCAGGCATGCACCTCAGAGAGTTACTGCACACTGATACATGGGGCAGAAGAGCAGCTGTCAATTTAGCATGTGATGTGAAGTTTATGGTCTAACTGCCGATGCGTACTATCTTTCAATACAAACTTTAAATAAAAAACCACTAAAATATTTACATTATCAAATACCCCTTAAATCCAGAAATTAAAGTTAAGGAAAAAATCTTCCAAATGATAGTATTGATTTAGGATTTTAAATTGAATGGAAAAAATATGTCAAATATAATGTCATCTCCTAAAATAAATAAAAACTCAACAAAATAGGGCCAAGAATATCCACTAATCAAAGCAGGAGGACAATTATTTCATACTACCTCATTTTCCTCTTTTAAATGTGTCATCTCACTCTCTCTTTGCGTTATTCTTTGTTTTTCCATTTGTTCTTTCGTCTCTCTCTCTCTCAGCTTTGTATCTCACCACTCTCTCCCGTTTTTCTTCATTTTTCTTCCCACCGCCTGGAATCGAGAAAAACCTAGAAACATCCCAATTACTTCTCCAATTTTGCATTCAAAATGCTTTTTCTCCATTCACAGTCGATAGTGTGAATCAGAGCACCTGAAACATGGCGAACAAATGGTCTCTTATTCATCGACGAAGCAAAGTAGAATGATAGCCTGTGAATAAACTAATTATTAAAAGTGACAAAAAGCAGAACTCGTTAAACCAATCGAATGAGTGTATAGTTAGTTCGTCGCTTAAAGCCTTAAACCATTGTATTTATCTAAAAAAATCAAAATGCATAATCAGATTCATCTTCACTTTACATGTATTTGTCGTACAAATTCATTACACATAAAAAATGGTTTTGAACCGACGCCATATCAAACTAAATATCATCTTATGATTATTGGATCCATGCCAGATTAGCAAAACGTCTAAGGCTATTGGTTAACCAGCTGAAAATTAATACTAATTTAAGAATTATATATCACTTCCAACATGTTCAATACTCCAATTCAATATGCAATATTCAATATTCAACCAAATGATATATGAGTTTCAACCCTTCCTTAAATTTTTTTTTAAAAAAGTCTCCTCCCTCGACCCTCACACACATTTGCTAAGAAATACTAAATCCCAATTTCTTCTTCACTTTACTTGCTTCTAAACTTATTGTTGACGTTGTTTGTTATTACTGCAAGCTATAAAAAAAGACTTTTCAGCTATAAAGTTAATCTAGAATGATTTTATAAATGAATTTTTAGTTGTATACATTGAAAAAGGTTTTAGTCTCAAAATAAACAATGAATGTATTTTATAAACCTTTTAGAATATGATCCGTCACACATTGATGTGAGAAACTATTCATTAATTCAAATTTTGTTTTTTTATTAAATGACGCATTTTTCCATAAAACATGAGTCCACCAATATAGACTGTGTGGTGGTCGCAATTGTGCGCGAGCCCTTGAAGTTTAAGTTTGGTACAACCCATGAAGCATTCATGCTTATACATGGCCGATCCATATACATTGTCTTCATGGTATGCTCTAACTGTATCGTGTTAGCTCGACCATGTGCCTAGGTATAGTTATATGCATTATAACAATGAAGTTTCTACCTATTCACAACACCAAGATAAAAACAGTCATAAATGCACCCATTGTTTGATTTTGACTACCTAATGAAATACTATATTTGAATAAACTACAACTGATGTTACAAATAATAATTATACCTCTAAATCATACATAAAATATTTCAAAAATCACAAAGATTAAGATTAAATGAATTATTATAAAGAGTAAAAGTTGTATAATGAGGTTAATTATAAATCATTTATATGTTAATACACTATAAATTGATCAACACATTCGATCCAAATCTGACGAAATGAACATCACATTAAACTCGATATCGTCTCATTATTGTCAGGTCTATTCATGCCCGATTAGCAAGAGTTTAACGTTTAGCAGTTAACCAGGCTAGAATTTTAGAGAACAAGTCACCTATAGTTTGTACAAAATATTATTGTTTCGTATTAGTTCTAAAATTTTATATTAATTTAAAGAATTCTACATCACTTTTGCATATTCAATACAGTAGTTCGATATGCAATATTTCAAGAAATGAAATTTTTTTTTTCAATTTTATGATTACCATCATTTTATAGGTTATAAAAATTATATGCGTATTAAACTTTGCTTTTCAGAAGATTTAATAGGCTAGCTAACTGTGAAAGGTCCTCTGCTTTTCAAATCTTCGCTTAATGCATGTTTACAATTCAAGAAGATAAATTATTGATACTTTTTCATATGAAGTAGATAATAATTGTGATGATAAACATACCCTTCTTACTCTCACTCTCGTTTCACAAACTTTGAAATAGAAATCTTAAAATATTGAATATCTCTTATAGAAAGAGCTTCTTCAACCAAGTAGGAAAGGCATTTTACTTGAAATTATTACATCTTATAGAATGTGATTAATTGTGAAATCGGAACTCAAGTAACATTGATTCAAACATTAAAATAATAAATTATATGTGTGGTTTAGTTTAGACAAAATACATATGTGTAGCCAAAATATTGATCTTTGTGAGAAATATAGTAATTTTTTGTCACAAATCTACACACAATATAAAGATAAATTGGGCACTATGACGAAAAAGAGCTTCCTAGAATCACTCTCAGGCCACGAAATATGAAATGAGACCTTCATTTTTCAATTTTATCATTATATTATGTGTAGATTTGTCACAAAAAAAATTATACTTGTCACAAAGATCCATGTTTTGGTTACACTTCAGTATTTTGCTAAACTAAACAACACATACAATTTAATATTAATGTTTGAATCAATACTACTTGAGTTCCGATTTCAAAACTAATATCTTTCTATAAAATATAAATATAGAAGCATCATCACCAAACATATTCCTAGAGTTAATCAAAGAAATAACAATGAATAAAATGTAGTCTAGTTGGTTATAATGCTCTTTCTTCATTTAATTGACCAAGGTTCAAACTCTAATTATAACATTTTTAATATATAAACATGAACCGGGTGCAATGACAAAAATGACCTTCCTATAATCACTCTCATGTCACAGAATTTGAAATGGGAGAATTTCAACCTATGTTTTGCCTTTATGTATCTTGTAGATGTAGATTTATTTTTTATTACCCAGGAACCTTAGCCCACGTGCCACTTTGTGACAGCGGGTCCTACTAAATCTGGGGCCACATGCAATCAAATTCGACGCCAACGGGGCTTCGCCAGAGCAGTCTTAGCTTGTACCTTCGGGAACACCAACGAGCCTCGCTTGAATTCGAACGTGGAATCTGCAACTCTCAATCCTTCACTGTCGCGGCAGCTTTACCGTTAGGCTATCTTACATTTGGTTTATCTTTTAGATATATTAACATTAACAAAGTTAAAATCATAAATAAAAAATCAAAATTACAAAGAGAAACAATAAAATGAACACTGGTTCACAAGATGCTACAAATATACTAGGAACACCTTATATGTTAAGTTTAAAAATGACAATTTGTACAAAACATTGTATATTTATGTATAATCAGATCAATTCGGGTATCATCCATGTCTGTGATATTCAGTTTCACGTTTTACTCATACTATCAGGCAATGGCGAACTCAAGCGTGGACACTGTAAAATTTGGGAGAAAATTAGTGAAGCTCCGGTAATAGTTCAAGTATGGAAAAAAGTAAACTCCCATTATCCAATCCAACTCCCGATTCTGCAACGCCCTAAATTCAGATTTCCATCAGTGTAGAATGGAGTACAACTATGTTTTTGGGCGTACAGGAACACTCTAATCTCTCACAAAGTGACAAAATCGTTTTGAGTTTTAAAACACAATTCCACCTTACAAGTACGGGTTAATTGCATGGTTGGTCACTGAGATTACAAAAAGCGTTCATGTTTGGTCACTCTAAATATTTATATCCATTTTTGGTCACTATCTTTACAAAAACCGTTCATTTATGGTCACTCTCCGTTAGCTGCCGTCCAACGCTGTTAACGGCGTCCGTTAAGTGATGATGTGGCTGACAGATTTGCCTAATCAACACTTTTTAACCCCAAAATTGACTGACCCGACCCGCCATATCATTTAAACCCTCCATGTCAGCTAAACCTAACCAAACCTCTAACCAAACCAGACCCGCTAACTAAAACAGAACTGACCCGACCCACCAATTAATCCACCCACCTTTGACTAAAACCCTAATCGAAGACAACAACAACACCACAAAAATCTCCAAATCCTCTCCACCCCCTTTGCCTCGCCGACCAGCCGCTCGCCTCTCTCCATGGCAAATGCCTCCTCCCGTTTCATCATCGCAGTCCATTAATTAATGGGTGACCGAACGCCGCCGCGCACCAGCAACGCCTCCTCCAATTCCCAAACTCCGACCCCACCGCCACCTCCCCACCGGCCGTCGCCGCCGTCTCCCTTCTCCAGCTGGCCAGCAAGAACAAGAAATCCAAGCCCAAGGTCGTCCGTGTCTTCCAATCCGAGTTCCGCTTCTTCCCAATAATCGGCGCCCCCGCCTGCCGGATGCCGATCCTCCTCTTGAGCGGGTTCTCCGACGGGCCGAATCGGGGCGGGGTGTCGAGTACCCGGGTCACGGGCACCCTGTTCGGGTACCAGAAGGGCCGGGTCAACCTCTCGATCCAGGAAACCCCCAAATGCCTCCCTTCTGCCGTCGTCGAGCTCGCGATGCAGACGAGCATCCTGCAGAAGGACCTCGGGTCGGGCATGCTCCGGATCGCGCTCGAGTGCGAGGAGCGGGCCGACAACGGCGACGGGAACAGTAATAATAACAATTAACAACAACGGGGGTTCTAATAGCAGCAATAAGATGAAATTGCTGGACGAGCCGGTGTGGACGATGTATATGTTGAGCCCATAAGGGAATAATGGAGGCGGATGGATTTGTCTTCGATTAGGGTTTTAGTCAAAGGTGGGTAGATTAATTGGTGGGTCGGGTCAGTTCTGTTTTAGTTAGTGGGTTTGGTCTGGTTTGGTTAGAGGTTTGGTTAGGTTTAGCTGACATGGAGGGTTTAAAATTTAAATGATGTGGCGGGTCGGGTCGGTCAATTTTGGGGTTAAAAAGTGCTGATTAGGCAAATCCGTCAGCCACGTCATCACTTAACGGACGCCGTTAACGGCGTTGGACGACAGCTAACGGAGAGTGACCATAAATGAACGGTTTTTGTAAAGTTAGTGACCAAAAATGGATTTAAATATTTAGAGTGACCAAACATAAACGCTTTTTGTAATCTCAGTGACCAACCATGCAATTAACCCTTAAAAGTACATACACACCAAAGAATAAATTATTCCTTCTTGTCCTCAGGTTGTTTTCGTTTATATTACAACATACCAAACAGCCAGCTAATGTACTCACTCTCTTACAATTTTCCCAACTCTTCCCTGATCCGTCGTCTTCTAAACCACCTCCATCTCTCCAATCAAGAATGATACAATAAATTACCTAACAAAGGATCTGCCTGTCTGGTAAATAACGGAAAAGGAAACAAAAGGCCGTAGAAAAATACAATGTGAACATGATTAGCCGGAACTCGAGGGGAGCCAGTCAAGCAGCAACTACTGCGCAAAACATCTAAAAATCTTTTCCCCATGTCTTCTTCGAGCAAATTAGAGACAGATGAGAGGCCCTAATCACCATTTACAGCCTGACATCTTCTCAGACTCAATGCAGCAGCAGCGAAAGCGCGGTGAAAAGGATAGCCACGCTCGAAACCACGAACCCTGCAGCTGCTCCCTTTGGCTGCCCACTTGGGCTTGGTGGCGGCGTAGCTCCAGCACCAGGGGGAGAGTCAGCCGTAGGCCTGGTTCCAACGGGCGGCAAAGGCGCCTCAGCGATGTCGTTCTCAGTCAGAGGCGGGTTGGGAGCCTGAGCTGGCGGCAATGATGGCGTCTGGACAAGTCCCAGCAGACTGCCTGCCTGAACTGGGGCCATGTAGGGAGGAACATTGTCCAAATTAGCTAGACATCTGTTCTCTGCACAAAGTCAAAGTACAGTGGATTAGATAGATAGATAGATAGATAGATAGATAGATAGATAGATAGAGGGACACAGAGAGAGAGAGAGAGAGAGAGAGAGAGAGAGAGAGAGAGAGAGAGAGAGAGAGAGAGAGAGAGAGAGAGAGATCAGCAAGCTAGAGATGCAAAGATTGTTTCTTTATATAAGGGCTTACTCTTGTATCTGTTAGGTGTCTCAGGAAAGTCTGTGACAACCCCGCTGATATTGGTCCCCAAGATGTAGGTGTTCAGCTCTACGTTGATATCTGCAAAGAAGTCCCACGGTTGAGATGCAAACTCGTTGCTGAAGGTTTGGACGTAGACCGGGAGATCGGCCTTCTGCAGCTTCGTTATGACATCGGTCATTCTGGTCACGAAAGCGTCGTTCTCAGGGAACACCGACTCCTTGCTGATCACAACAGAGTGAGCAAAGTTCTTGATGTCTGAAACAGCAGAAGGGTCTGCACTACCAATTGTCTCATCAACAGCGTAAACCAGCTCATACTGTTTTTTATCCTTCAGCTTCATTAGAACTGAGCTATTGGTGGACTGGACCATGATTTTCAGAGCTGTCTGGTTATCGTAACCAGCTTTGGTCAGCTCGGTCTCAACTGCATCAATCACAGCTAGCCCCTGCTTCTCCATTAGATAAGCTGCATTCTGGTAGATGAAGGAAAAGAAACAGACCGGGTACATCAGGAAATTATTATCAATATGGATATGCAGTGATCTATAGTCGTAATGCAGCTGCCAGAAACTACCTCAATGTTGATTAAGACACCAGAAAGTGACCCAGCGTCTTTTGCCATAACCAAGAAGTCGGCTAGGGAAACTAGCTTTCCAGCATTTCGCTCCTTTGGATTACGGACCAACTGATAACTAGGAAATGGATTGGATATGACCGCTGCAAATGGAACATATGCACAAAAGAAAATGAAAACCACGAATAATGCAGAGTCGGGATATAACATTTCACAGGAAAGTGTAATAAAACAGCCCAACTAAGCAAGATGAAAAGCTTACGAGTCAAGCCCTGAATCTGGGTCCAATTCAAGCTAAATGTATATATGCCATCGCCTTTGAGCTCCGGAACATTTGTTGACAAGCTTGTCAATGATTCAGCTGCTGTTGTAGTGTCGATGAGGTTTATAGAGCTTTGGCAAAATGCGACTCCATCCTGAGATATCTGGATTGGGCAGTCAATAACATCTGCTCCATCTGAGATAGCTTTTTGGTATGCAAGGTTGGTACAGCCTGGGTAGTCTCCACTGGCACCATTTTTGGTGATGACCAAAGTATTTACTGCAAGTACGAGCAAGGTCGGTCCATAATTAGGAAAAAAAGAGTAACTATGCAAACATGAACTTAAGCCGAGCGTTAGACTATCCAACCAAAGGTATTGTTTCACTACATGAGCATCACATACCTTTGTCTGAAGCATTCTGGCCCATGTGAGCGAAGCAATCTGCAGAGGAAGAATGAATCAGTACTCGAAATAACTAACCCCAGGTTAGAGGAAAACAGCTGGAATGAACTGTGTGATGTCCCCCAACACCAAGGACACTTCCTAAGATTTTCTAAGATTTATACTTCTGATAAATTAAGAGACCCCAAACAAGCAAGTCCATTTCCTAATCTCAAGAAGTAAAAACAAGTCCCTTCCAAGATCAAGCAATTCATTTGGATTTCTTCATCACTATAAACACAGCAATGAACTGCTCGAAAGAAATGGAAACATAAGCTCAAAAGGAATGTGAAAAATGAAGGGATGATAAGAAAGAAAGCTTACTAAATGCGGCAGATGGAGTGATTGGGAAGTCAGACAGCACACCGTCAACGGAGAACTGACCATTGTTTACAAATTGAAGATACTCGGAGACAGGGTCGTAACTGTAATTGTAGCTCAGAACAGCATCATTGTAAAAGTCTGTGGCCACAACTTCAAGCCCAGCTTTATGAGCATCCAAGACAAGTGAAGTACTGGGCTGCAAATAATTACTTGCATCCAGCGGCCATATGTAAGTCTTAGGGACAAGGATTCCAGAGGCAAAGGTCTTGATAAATGTCAAATTCGATCGTAAAGAACCATAAGTTTGGTTTGTCGAAGGCTCGACATCGTCGAACCCATTAAACCGGAAGAACAGTTTGGTGATTCTTGGGTTGAATCGTGAAGAAATACTTGTCAAGAAGCCCACTTCCGGAGATGAGATGTAGTTAATAACCATTCTTCTAGATGCAGCAAGAACATAGCTTCTCATGCTCAAATTGTGCTGTGCATAGAATGCATCATGCTGCAGACGAAACAGCATCAAAACTCAGCAACTGTGCTCTTGTGTTAGAAATGTCAAATATGCAAAGAGGGGAGCTGAAAAATGAAAATGTCCCTACAAATACCTGAACGTTCAACCAGAAGCCAGCCGGCTTCAGTGCAGTAACATCATCAGGAGTTAAGATAGGGAACAAATTGCTGTCGAACTTCTGACTGCGAGAAAAAACTCCCTGCGCCACTGTCAACAACAACAACAAAACGAAGAGCTCATTTCAGAATAGAGTTGTACAACTAATACGAATCAAATGTGCAAGGGAAATCAACGAGTGATTCAATAGAACTCACAAGCAACAGTTGACAAGTCGGTGGAGTTGAAATCCATGGCAAACCATCCGGTCTGCCTCACGCCATTGACGGCATAGGTGTTCTGACGGCCCTGGTAAACCTGAGCGATATCCGTAGAGTTATCAAGCTTGACATCGGGGAGACAAAGCCCGAATGAATCTTTACTGAGCTGCAAGTCACACCAAAAGACAGCATCTGGCGCACTGGTCAGCTGTGTCAGCTGGTAAGCGGCACTAGAAGAGTCCGGAACAAGACCCGAAAATCCACCCCGAGCTACAACGATGGGGCTGTTTCCTGCACAAGGAAACGGTTGAATCAGCCGCAGCGATCTTCCAACACAAGTAAGATTTAAGCACACCAAATAGCCAATTCGGCTTTCCCTTTTCTCAATCCCTCCTTATTCAAAAAAACAAGGTAATTGTTCCGCACATTGATTAACACGGTGCGAAGATCTAGGCAATGGAGGGGGAGAATTGATCAATTCGTAACCGTCTTAATCCCAGCACCAGTGCAATTAGCCCATTAACACGATGCTCTAATCAATTGAGCTAACAAACCAATTGACAAAAAACAGAAAAGAACAGGATCATTCATTGCACTTATACATATAAACTTCTGGTCACTGGTCCAGCCAAAAGTGGAAAGAAATGGATCAAATCCAGGTGTCCCTCACATATCCAAATCCATTACTAGCCTTCTTTTGGCTCCATCGACACGAAGCTGAAGCTACGCAGCGACGACACTAGCTAGCTCAAGTTTACTTCCAGAAACGAGATAAACCGCCATTAACTAACTTCCTTCACCTCTTCAACTCATCGAGAAGCAGAACCGCGTCCAACTTCTTAGAGAGAGGTAAATGAAACAGAAGCCAAAGCAAGGAAGCTCTGCCGGAGAAAGAAAAAAAAAGTAATCGAGGATTTGACTCACCGGAGAGAGTCTGCCAGCGGGGAGCAGAGCCAGATCCCCCGCGCTGAGCAGAGACGGAAGCAGGAAAGGAGTGAAGGAGGAGGATGGGGATAAGAAGAGCGAGAGGGAGGAGCAGGGATGCAGACATTGCCGGGGACTTGCGCCGGCAGCCGGTCATCTCGCGGCAACTTTCCAGTTCAGGTTGCCTCGGGAACTATGTGAGATTTGGAGGCTGTACTCGGAGAGAGAGAGAGAGAGAAGAAGAGGGAGGAAATGGGACGAAGGTCTGGAACCTTTTCCTCGGGCTGGCTTTTTTCTGGACGGAAGTTGAGTATTTGATTATATATAACTTCTTTAAATTATTATTATTATTATTATTAGTTTTATTAATAAAGTAATAATTAGTTGTGCCGCATACAGTCCGAGAGAGAGACGAGCCAAGGCGGACGGACCGAGTCTTTGTCTCCGGAGGGAGTTGGTTCATATTTAATTTAATGGCGCGTCGCCGTGGCCAGGCCGGCCCCTCAAAGGGGAATGAATGACTCTCTGTGTTGATGGTGACTGGAGGAAGGAGCCGGCGAGTTGAAGCCGAGCCGGTGGATTTCTTTCTTCTTTATTTTAGTGTTTATATATTTATTTTCCAGCTAATTTATTTCATTTTCGTTATTTTCTTACAAGTAAAAGGTTTATTTTATATATATTGTTGCCATCCAGCAGCTTAATCATGCGGGAGTTTGTCATTGTTCTTTGTCGTGTAGCCTGAAGAAGATGGGAAGGAACAATTTTACTCTGATGCTCACAAGAAACCATATATATACAAGATATTCAACGAAAAAAATATATATTTGTGGGCGATTTCCTCAATATTGTGATTTTATGTAAAAGTGTTTCGATGATATAAAAGTATAAAAATAATTTCAATATTGTAATTTTATATAAAAGTGTTTTGGTGATATAGAAGTATAAAAATGTAAGTTTTAAACTTATAGATTTAGATTTTGACTATCATTGAAAGTGAAAAATGTAATTCTACATAAAATTATTTTGGTGACCTAAAAGTGTAAAAGACTACAAGCGGAAGCTTTTAAATTTTAAAGCACAATTTTGATTACATTTTTGTGACAAATATCTCATAGGTGATTGGGTCATTAGATTGTTTGAGTGCACTAGTGATAATAATGGGGTGGGTCAATATTCATATTTGCCCTACAATAAGTGCGAGTTAAGTCGAGGAATATCCGTGCGGGTACGAGGCAAGTGGGTCAAACCATCCTTATATATTAGTTGAAAAAAGAATATTGATATTAAATCTTTTACAAGAAGCATAGAGAATACATTACATAAATGAATGAGAATATAGTAGAAGTAACAGTTGAGGGCTTGGCCTAGTGGTTAGGGTGGAAATCGGTACGGTATCGGTATTCCAATATCAAATATCGAAATCCCGAATACCGAATTATACCTTAAAGTCAATTTCAATCCCTAAATATTTCGGTATCCCAATTGATACTTCGGTATCCCAATCGGTATTATCGAATACGAAATTAATTACCTTTGCAATTAATAATTAAATATATAAATTAGACTTTATTGTTTAATTTAGGTGGAAAAGACTAAGCAAATAGTTTTGAATTAGGATATTATTAAGGAGAGTGGAGGAGACGAGACATCTCAAGTTCTTATCATTGATAATCTTTAATTTGACGAATTGGAGGTTGAGAGACGACTATTAATAGTGATGGAATGATATGTGTATAATTAAATGACACTTTTGGTGGTTGAGGCAAGAGGGTCATGTAGTAGTAAATGAGAGAGTCTAGTTGAGATGATAAAATACAAACTAGCTTATATTTCAGTATTGATCGGTATTTCGGTATATACCGATCTCAATCTCGTAATCCCTAATACTGAATAACAATTGAAATTCAATCTCAATCCCAAAAAATAATATGTGTATTCGGTAATACCAAATATAGACAAATTCGGTACGGTATTCGGTATATCCCAAATACCGGTACCAAACTTCCAGCCCTACTCGTGGTAATACCACTAGCCTAAAACCTGGAGGTCCCAGGTTCGAATTCCTTCAGTAGTACTTTAATCACAAAAAATTAAACCTATATCACCCTTATAAAAAGAAAAACAGTTGAATCTAAATAGTTGAAAGATAGAGTCTTCAAATTTCTTAGGAATGAGAATATGATTATAGAATTATCAAAAGAGGAGACATACATGCATATATTGATGCAAATCATGACATAAATGGTCGAGTACAGGAGGACGGTCTGTAAGCTTACCAATGCCCCACTCCATGGCCATGCTACTACGGGTCGGCTAATACCCGCCTCAAATAAATTGGGCCATGTCGGGTCGCACGAATCAGGTAAGAAATTGTCATTATTGGTGAACACTCTATAGATATTAAATAAACACAATGATATTTTATTTATAAAATTATTACTGTATTTATCCCGTATTTACAAAATATTCACACGAGATTTAAGAATCTCAAAGTGTTTGTGAGATGATTCTCCTAGTTGGGTTGTGGGCACTCGAAATTGAGATGTGAAATATTTATTAAATAATTTGGTGGTTAGGAACTCCGCATAATAGTCTCATATCGTGGTCCGTGGACCTCTCCAATAATCCGCTTTTTTCTTCTAATACAGATTATCTTGCCGAATAAAATCGCTATTATTGGCGGGTGTCGCGGTTGTCTGACAGAACAGAAATGTCTGTGTTTCTGGTAGGCAGATTCCTGTCTGGTTCCGGCCGAATTATCGGAATAGCATTGCCCTAGTTCTTGTCTTTTTTTGGTTGAAGGTCATCCGCGTAGATTAGCTTCTTTGTAACAACTCCAGTTAAAAAACAAAGATAAGATTTCCCCATAGTTATTACTTATTCGAACAAGGGTAAGGGAATCCGAACATATGGAGTAGATCGAGGAGCCAGACCCTGTGTTTTTTTAGTGTAAGTATATAAATAAAATTTAACACATGAAATTAAAAAAATAATATTATTCAAATAATTAATTCATTGGAAAATAAATGATGGACTATAATACCGTTATTCATGAACAATTGTGATTTGTTTTCATGTTCCGGAAGAAGTTTAAAATACATTTGTTGTTTTTTCGGAGTTACCAGTGAGTGAGAAGAATAGAGGCTAATTAAGGATTTGATGCAATCAACGATTTAGTTTATGATGTTATAAATAAATTTTACGATAGAAATAAGCTGCAAAATAGTTGCAAAATGCTCCTATGTAAACTTTAGAAGTGCTGCATTTGGATGAGCACATGTGGCTAGACTTGTTCCGGAATAATGTTGGAAGAAATAAATAAAAAAGGAAATTTTCAAATATATTGAAAAATATGCTTTATGAAGCATTCTATTATCTATTTGTTTACCCATAAAAAAAATCAGCTTGTACCGCATCGATTAACTACAAGAAATTCAATGAATTTATAAGGCCAGCTCAACATTAATAATTAAAAAGAGCAAGCTGGGCCTTGTTGGGTTGGATTTTTGGGCCTAAGTGGCCAAGCCCCTTCTTCCCTACATGATGGCCGAATCGCCTCCTTGGCCCCATAGCCAGGCGATGCGTTTCACCCTTGGTAGGAAATTTGGCCGCCAGAAAAACCAAAGCCTTGGGAACAAGGCGATACGACGGGGTGCCAAACGACCGGGTACCAAGCCGGCAAGGAGGGCCTTGTACCAAAGTATATGATAATTGGCTAAGTATGGAGCCATAGGGTATCAAGCCGACAGGCTTGGTAGCCAAGCAAGGCGGCAACGGAGGCGAATCAAGGCACCAACTAAGAGAGTCATACAGAAACTAAGACTGGGTATCAAGCCAACAAGACGGACTTGATAGCCAGACATCAGGGTATCAAGCCAACAAGACAAGAAACTAAGTATGGATACCAAGCCACCAGGGTTGGCTTGGTAGCAAGGAGTGTCAAGTTGATTACATTGGCTTGGTGGCATGCCGGAGGGTATCAAGCCGATGAGACGGCTTGGTAACAACCAACAAGTTCATGAGGAGGGTTTGGTGTCATTGAGGTGGTAGCGGAGGCTAAGGTAAGAGCTTCAACCCCATCCAGTTATGACAGGGCGACAAGGCTCAACACCAACCCGACCCGACATCGAGGCCATCAAGTACCCACAAACTCCAAGACGGGACAAGGGCCTCCAAGGTGATGGATACCAACCAGTCAACAAGACGGGTCTAGGAGCTCCAAGGCAATGGAAGTGAAGACCAAGACAACGGTTACCAATTGGCAACCAAGGCAACGAAAAGGGGTCCCTAAGGCGGTTGGAGCAACAAGCCGGCTAGCAGTTACCAAGGCAGTTATTCCTAGTGGCTATAAATAGAAGAAACGAAGAAGAAGCAAGGGTTCCACAACCAAACATTTGACGCACAATGTCAAAATTTATCTTTTCTCTGCAAATCAGCTTTTAGTTTTCGGAGCTCTCACTGAACCTCCATAGGAGTAGAGTAACTTAGATTATTCCAAAAAACCATCAAAAACATCAAACACCCTCGTTCGAACATTGTTCGGAGAGGTGTGAACCGTGTTGATTGTCGTTGTTCAAGAAGTCAAGGTGCAATCATTTAATTCAAACACCAGTTTTTCCTCGCTGGAAAACAAATTGGCACGCCTAGTGGGACTCTGTGTGTTTGATTCAATGGCTCCTAGGAGAAAGAATCAGGAAAGTGATGCTCCGCCAGGGTTTGTGGAGGAGCAGGTGGCCAACATTGAACATGGCAGTTAGCTGAAGCGGTTTCCGGTGACAATGACGGTGGGGAAGCCTTGCCGCCGCCGACACCAAGTTCAAACGTTGATGTAGTTGCCGCCATTGGGTCACTTCGCCAATTCATGGGGGAAGCTTTGGCCGGCAACACTCTTCAGGTAAATTCTCAACTTGATTGTCTTAACTCCTGTGTAGATAGGCGGTTAAGTCAACTTTTTGAAATTGTAACTAAAAATAGGAATGATTTTGATGAGTTTAGGAGAATTTTGACCACACCAGTGGTACAATCACGAGCTTTGCCAATTGATGGCACAAGTTCAACTCCAAACAATGCAAATTTTTCTCCCGTCGGTGGCCGGAATGGCCAACTACGACAGGATAACTTACCGCCGCCGGTGACAACCCAACCAACCCCTCACCACATAAATCGCGGCGAGATTCCTGCCACCACTCAAGTGGAGGCTTCAGTTAACGTGGGAGGTGGAGAACTGCCTCCACGAGGCGAAAATTTTGCCACTACGTTCAACACCCACGTTGAACAACCGCCATCCATCCCGGTG